ATAGATAATTATAGTAATGGGAGAACATGTACTACTATATTTGAATAGGAGATAATGAAATTATTTTCTACACTTCTTATAGTAAAGACCAGCAAGATCAAAATAATCAAGAATATCACTATCAGTTTTGTATCCCCTTTTGGATATATCCAAAAGAGAGAGAAAGAGTTATAGGATATACTCTATAAGGGAGTGCTCTGGCGTTCTATTATATAGAAAAGGTGTACAACATTTCTTATACCTTTGTAGAGGAGAGTAAGGATTAAGGGATCCTATATGATTAGAATGATTATATAGGAAACTATATTCTAGCTTTTCTATTAAAAAAGAAAAGCTATAAAGATACAGGCTTTATAGATTAGTAGATATCATATCATCAGTATAATCTCTATATTCTTAGAGAATGTTTATATTAGATATTAAGTAATCCTAAAGGAAAGGTTTTTCTTTAAAAAATTGATTAAAGATATTGATTCCTAAAAGAATATATAAAATCTAATCTATTGATCTTATAACGGTTTTAATAATTATAATCTCAAAGCGCTTTCTAGTATCTATTGAAATCAATTCGCTAGCTCCAAAGTACTTATTAGCGACCCTTGAGATTTACTAAATAAGAATAATCAAATGCTATATATATATCTATACAATATCACCGCCCAGCGAGCTAGCACTCGAACAGGCACGAATAAGATTCGCGCTCCGACTCCGCAAGGTGGACGAAAATCACCCACTGGCGATTCGTCTAGCACAGGCATCTCAACGCAAGATAAACAACATCAACCTCCACAGACTAGCTGGATTGATCCCGAAAGCATCGAGATCAATACTCTCCCCGCTATATTTCTTTGTAAGAAGCTACAACGACCCTACAGGAGGCGTGAAGAAAAAAGCAGTCGTGTTTGAATTCATATAATGGTGGAACTGTTTGCCTGATAGCTATATTACAGTTTTCTCGAATAACATTGAATAATATTATCGAGAGCAAAAGATAGTCGGCTATAGCTATATGATCTATTGAAAACAATTTCTAATAGTATTCGGTTATAGGGCAATCAACCCGCTTTCGTATATCTTCAATGTTGAGGTAGTAAATATCTAAAAGGTTTAAAGTATACTATCCGATTAAAGCCGGCTAAGCAGATCACTATGTGCATCGACAATACCTTAGTTATTTAGTATATCAAGAGCAATACCTCCAACTCATCCCAATAAGCATTTCTGTATTATTATGAGATTATGAGAAACAAACAAGTAGCGATCCAATGGTTGCCTGAACATACTGGAATCCTTAGAAACGAAAAGGCTAATTAGCTTACTAATCTAGGCATTTGCAGTGATTATATCGAAAACAACAATTTATTACTTTTCATTATTAATAGAATAAACTTAATAGTTAGAATCCTTAGATAAAGAATAGAATAAAGATAATAAAAGCGAAATGAGGTTATCTTTATCGGTTGATACCGTTATTGGTATCTCAACTATCAAATCAAGGAATCTAAAGAACTTACTCTCCTTTATTCTATTCTTTAGCGATTGGTAATGCTCAAAACCAGATATGGGGATTTTATATCCTACCACTAATGCTTTCAATATAATAATACTATCTCAAAATGCTTTTATAAATATAGCAAAGAATCTAAACATCTAGTATTCTATCGATATTCTCATACCCAATTCGATAATTGACTAAACAAATCCGATTCAATTTTATAAAACACAAAGAATATAATCAATTATTTCTTTTTTCTTTTAAAAACCCTAACAGACTTTATAATTTTTTTAATAATCATTAATCACTTTGAGTAACTATATTCAATCTCTTTAGAAATCCTTTGATCTTCTATTTTTATATTACTAATCAGAACTGTACCCCTTCTAGAACCGCTTTTCCCTTTCCATTGTTGTGTATAAACTATATTAAACAAAACTAACAATATAGGGCTTTCTAACTAATTATAAATCTAAGCTATTTAGTATGAAATAGGTTAAATAATATTGATATTACAAGTGGGAGACAAATGGTAGGAATGTGTATAGTATTCTTGGTTGCTTTTTTTCCGATCTGTATTACAATTGTAGAAGAACGGAACGCGTAGCTATGCCAGCATCCCTGCTAGCATAGTCCATCCCTAGTACCCCCTGGGAGGTCGTGGTGAGCCCCTGCGGCTTGCCCCCTGAATGTAAATTAAAATAAATAAATAAATAAATAAATATCTATACAATATAGATCATATCGCTTAGCTTGATTGAAATCAATTATAGCCCCAACTTATAACATAACGTTCTATAGTTTTCGATAGGCTATATAGCTTCAGATATACGATATCAGTATGGGGGAGTATTAGAAAAGGTGCTTATACTGTATATCACACTATACTGTATCGGGATTAGTCTGTATGTGACTCTGTCGAGTCCATATATATATATTGTATCTCTATGTAGAACTTAATAATATCAAGGCTTTTCCACCAACTCATATATGATCTTTTAACACCTTATATATTTGATTATATAATAGATTATTTAATAAATCATTATCCACCTTGAATTGATCCAAAATTATTATAAATAAAGCCTTTGCCTTCTCTTTTGTATCACAAATCTCTCACTTGCTAATTATTAGAGAAAGGGATTTCGTATTGCTTTCGGGGGTTAGTTTGTATCATTCCATAATCCGATAGAGCTCTTTATCATCCTTAAACCTAGTTTAGGCATATTACCCAATAGGATCTTTTGGCTTGTTGTACTATTCTTTATAATAGGTATATAGTATTGGTTTTCATTTCCGAGTCTATTCCCTTTCGTGCTTCTATATGTGCTCGGTGAGCATTGAGTATATAGATTGAGTGTATAGATTGATTGTATAGATTGAGTGTATAGATAGTTGGATAATTAGATTATTAGATGAAATTATTAGATAGAATATTAGACGAGAAGCAAGATGAGAAGTAAGATGAGAAGCAAGACTCATCAGAATCAGATAGTACAGAAAGGGTATAGAAAACAGGATAGAAAAGAGTATAGAAAACAAAATAGAAAATACAGCTCAGAATTCAGAAAATAATATAATCATTGTAACATAGAGTTTACATATCTAATTTGATATCTAGATTTCTAGATTTCTAGGTTTCCTTCCTTCTTTCACGTCTTTTCTTTATATACTTTCTTTATATACTTTCTTTATACATCCTTCTATTTCTAATACTTTTACACTTCTTACCCTTCTCTAAACCTAAACCTCATCCTCATCCTCACCACCTCACCACCTATCACCTCACCCCCACCACCTCATTCTTCAAAGTTCAAAGTTCAAATACTCATTTACTTATTTACTTACTTACATCCCTACTTACTTCCTTCCTTACTTACTTAACACAATCCAATCCAATTCCCCTCTCCACCAAAACAAACCCCCCAGAAAAGGAGAAAAAAACAAGCGAAGCGAAAAGAAGAGAAGAGACGAAAAGAGAAATCTCATCTCGATTCTCCTCCTCCTCTTCTTCCTTTTCTTCTCCCCCTTTCCTCGCATTTTCCTCTAACTCCTCCCTTAATTTAACTCCCTCTTGATATCTCCCCCCACAACCCTTTTCCCCATTTCTCATCCCCCAAACTAAATCATCATCATCAAAACCCAAATCCCAAATCTTAAAAATTTACCCAACTACCAACTTCCCCCCTTGCCCCCGTGATTCTAATAATCCAGTAAATCCCATCTTTTGAACTACCTACCTACCTAGGTATTCTCATTTAGATACTCTGATACTCTATTCTCTCAAACTTCACAACTCACATCACATCCCTCAAGATCCCATCCCATCCCATCCTATTATTTTAAATTATCCATCCATCATATCCTACCTTAGTAATATGTATTTACTAGGTAATTCTCTCCACACACACACACACACACACACACACACACACAAATAATCTCATCTCTCATCCATTCATTAATTCAATAATCGTATTCGTATATTTGTATTGACTGCATGAACTGATAATCCTAGATACCTATTCTCCTTCTCCTTCTCCATCTCCTTCATCTCTGTTTATCTCATCTCAATCATTCAATCCATCTAAACCCCACTGCTCCACTACCTCTGAAGAACTACCTACTTCCATCTCACACCCTTCTTTGACTTCAATCTAACAATCGCTACCTATCTATCCGAGGGCCTATGCCTTCAGTACTAGCTAGATAAGTGCACAATCTCTTGTATATACCACGGTTTCTATTCATTCCGCTTCATCATCTTTTTCTATCCTTCACCCTGGATTTAAAAGTGTCAAATCGAATTATTTAATCCCAATCCATCCATGCCAAATCCCTCAATAGTCCAGTACACGCACTATCCTTCTACTCCGCACCCCGTACCCCAAATTCCCATATTCACTTCCCCCTTTCTCCTCTTTCCTCTTTATATCCTCCTCTTGACCACAAACCCACACTCCCCTATCAAAACATCTAGCATAAAACATCTCTCACCCTACCAATCAATCTCCACGCTAAAACTAAAACTCAAACCCAAACAACACCCAGAGCACCAGACCATGCACCCAACCAATAACGCCCCTCGAATTCCAGTATTCCTACACCCATCATACATCCCTCGTATAAAACACGCCAACATCTAATCCATACAATCCCCCAAAAGTTACCAAAAATAACCAAAACTCTTTAAATGATCAAAACGCTAATGACAGTGGTATATGCTATGATTGAAAAATTGCCTTCAATGACTTCATCCCATCCCATTCGATCCATTTGTAAGCCTTCCATTCCTTTCCTTCCGTATCATTCACGCTAAATATGAAAATCCATCCTCTCATTTCTCGCCCCATTCATTCATTTCAAACTTCAATCTTTATATGCCCGCTAAAAGAGTCCCGCTGATATACCGATACCAAACAAACTGGCCAGAGACAACCAGGATAGTGCATCTCATCCAATATTAAGATACCCAAAGTTATGACTCATGGAATAAGCCTCGGTTTCAATAGGCCGCTTTCCCATTACTATTAAACCGATTATTCATGTAATGCGACGGGCTTAACATAATAGTCGGTCCATCATTAACACCCAACTGAGAAGACATGGTACCGGTTCTTGATCCATTCGACAAGTAAGTATCTGCGCGCTCATAAACATTGCCATTAAACATGGCACCAAAAGAAACACTCTGTGGAGTAGATGGAACAGTTGCCTGAACCGCTGGTCCTAATGCTGCACTCTGAGGAGTCATCGGCAAGGGGACTTGAGAGGCAGGCGATTGCGTTGTATAGGAGCCATTCGAACCACCATTTGCTTGCCTGTTGGCCAAGAAGCCCCACGGTGATGCTGTAATCATTGAACCTGTTTCTTTGATGGCCTTTTGAAGAGGTCTGAGAAGAACAATAATTTCAGACGGGATGAAGCTGATAACGCCTTTAACTTCCCTGACCTTGGTAACTAAGTCTAGATATGACTGAATCTATTAGCATATAATGGTGTGTTATCATAATTAGGTATACTTACATCTACCATCGCCCAACATATCTCCCAGAAACCCTTTTGTTCTCTGATGTCAGGATCCTTCAATTTAATTTGTGATAGACGAGATTTAAGCGCATCCGCTATGTGTAACGCGTGCGTGCATTTGTGTATTAATACTTGCCAATACTGTTTACCGTGGTCTGCATTACTTGATATTGCACTTTTTTGCATCGATCCGAGAAAATGGGCGTTAACATTTGGAAGAGTTTTGAGGGCCATTTCTGATGTCTGCTGTAGACGAAGAAATATCTTCTCAAAGATTTTATCCTCCTCAGTAAAGTCTCCCACTAGACGTCCACTAGTGCCTGTTGAACCAAATGATTCTCCAGAGCGTGGAGTAGCGCTTGTCATAGTTGCGGAACGCCCATTTCCACTGACAAATGGTGGGGGGGCATCTATCGCTACTCGTAGATTATTTGAATGTTGAATTACAGTCGCACTTCTCGATCTAAAGTTCGTACCAGGCCTCTCTCGTGTCGGAGTAACTGACTTGTCTCGGATTGGATATCCTACCTCGTGGTTACTTCCTAGGCGTCTACCAGATCGGCTTTGTCCAGGGGGAAACAAGCTCGCGCCAGCATTCCGTACTTCTGCTACGCTTCCGTACAATTGAAGTAGTAGGGTCCGAATGTATCGAGGATCGCCATTGATAAGAAGAATCTCGACATTTTGTGATAATTGGGCACATACGTGAATGTATGCACCAACACAAGTCAAACAGGCACGTTTCACGTTTTCGTTGGATCGAGGAGAAGCTTCCTCGTCTTCCTCCGAGTAAGAATCATAACGTTGAACATCCTGATCTAGCTCTTCCACATGTGTTTTGGCATTGTAAAATACCCTCTCCAAAGTTGACTTCTTCTCGCCAGGATTCCGAACCAGGCCAATCAAGGTTTCAATAAGAGGATGGACTTGAAACAAAGCGTACAGTACACCTTTAGCCCCTTCAATAATAGGATCTGGGGAAGTAGATTCTCGTTTGCGTTCCGGTAAGCTTGATAAGCGGCGGACGTAGGTAGCTCTCTGCCCCGCCGAATCTGCCGGGCTTGCTGGGCTAATCGTATTGCCATTAGACCCAGTACCATTACTCTGCATTGCAGATCCATGACTGAGGCCCCTGTTGTGGAGACTGTAACGATTCGATTTGTTCGTCTCGTCGACCGTCCCTAACTCCGCCGCCTTCCTTGAAACGATACCCATTCGTCGCGAGCGATCCGTTGAAGAGCGGTCCGGTCGATCACGATTAGCCTGCAAAAGGCTCTCGCTGTTACTGCGAACCCTTTCGTTTGTGCTTCCGATTGTGAGAGGCATTACGCCAGGTCGCCGAAGCGCTGCGTTTTGTTGCGAGAAGCCTCTTTGGTGTGATCTAGAAGGTATAGGTGGTGGTCGAGGTTGAGCTGGCGATGGGGGAACGCCGTCGACCTTTATGGGGAAGCGACCACTCACAACACGCTTCATCGTAGGCCGTGGAGTCTCGGTACCCTCGCTCGATTCTTCTCCGCCAGATTCGGTTTCGAGTCGACCCATGGCTTTGGACCTCAAGAATCTTTTGATCTGTGCTGTGACAGCAAGATCATCTATCTCACCTTCTTGGAGGGGACCGCCGCTAGGGGAGTTCAAAGCTTGCGCCTGAAGGATCTCTTTTGGTGGAAATCTCAGGGGATTCCCATCCAATTTCAGGATTTGAAGAGATGTCATATCTGCCACGCATAAAGGAAGTTCCTCAATCCTGTTCCTTTGAACGGACAAAACCTTCAATGATGTCAAATTTATAATGCCTGGTGGCAACGTCCGTAGTTTATTTCGTCCAAGGTCGAGAATTTCGAGGAAGTTTAACTGGCATATCTAAAACAAAGTCAGCGTCTTTGAGCTTGCCTCACGCTATTTGACCTTGCATACTGCTGGTGGGATTCTCGAATGATATTGTTTCGAAGGTTCAGATATCGTAACGAGGTACATTCTGCGAATCTGGAGGGGAATGTTTGGATCTCGTTGTGGGATAATGCAAGTCTGTACCATGGAATATGTATTAGCTATCATTAAAAAATATATTTAATTCCGAGATGCTGGAAGAGCTCAACATGTGAGACAAGTTCCAAGCCTCATGCAAGGAATGAAAGATTATAAATAACCGTACGAGTTCGACTTTTATGATGTCGACAACCTCTTCTGGAAATCTTTGTATACGTCTATGGCTCAAATCGATCGTGACTCCTGGCATCAGCTCGTTGCTGACAGCGCTCGACTCTGCAGCTTTCACTATGTTTTCCTCCAAAGCCTTATTCATAGATTCCCGTACTAAGGCGACAACCTGCCCTTGCGATGGCGGGACTTTGGAAGATAGAGAAGAGTTCGACTGAGCATGACGAAGGGGAAGACCACGTCGAGATGCGCTTAGATTCTGTGGTCTAGGACCCGGGCCTGGAACTGGCATGCCATTTTCGAATTTCGGTCGACCTGATGACATTATTGCTGCTCCAAGGGGAGGACCAGTGGGACCCATGATATCTTCCACTCCAACCTTTTCAATAATGTTGTCGGTGTTTTCCGTAAGATGTGGCTGAGGATGTTTCAACACTTTCTTGTTTCGCGAAAAAGGGACCAGACCCTTATCAATTCGATGGGAACTACTTAAGAATCCGTGCCTTTGAATGGGCGGTAAAGTTGAAAATTGGTCGAGAAGAAAGGACAAGCAGCATAATGAGGGGTTTATGTCCTATGTAACACCATGCATCCGTAATGTTTTCAAGAAGGGGCAATATCGAGGGTCTTCTCTCTCTTCTGTCGCAATTGAACTGCTTGTTTGTCACATTGATCATTTCTCTAGCATCATGATTTTCGGTTAAGCTTTCTCGAAATAGGTAAGCGCCGGCTTTAAATTGATGCAGGTACCGATGTGTTTAATAAAATATGCATTTCTCCCTTTGATTTTGAGTACGACGGCAGTGTAACCTCAGAACTTATATCTTCATACTTCATGGAGGTGATACGTTAAGTTAGAAGATAGTTAAGACCACAGATTTTTTCATCTATCTTCATTGTTGTCTGTATCGCATCCAAAGGGCTAGAGAGGTTCTTGACAACTCCTGCCTGCTAGATACATTTTGATATCGTTCTTCCTCCAGCTTTACTTGATCCTTACAAATGGATCTTGACTGTTCAGATGATAAACAATCATTGATAGATCTCAGATCATACTAAGTCTTTGATTTCAAACCAGTTCCATAATATACTTCAATCTATTTGCTGTGTTATACAGAACCCCAGAATAGCTTCTGCTGGAGGCTGAATCACCAAACAAAACGAGCAAAGACATTGTGAGAAACCAAGAGTAAGGATATTTTTCTACTGACAAGAAGAAGGCATTCGATTTGTTCACACTTCAAGAGTCTAATAACTGATAAGTTTCCTTCTGCTACACTACAATAGCAAACGGACTAAAACCACGCAACTCTCCAAGATCTCCCCTCTGAATCTTACAAATGCCCTTGTCAAGGACCCTTTCAAGATCCGATTCTTGTGTTGACATTGACTTTACATTGCGCCGTATATTCAAAAAAACCTCATTCAGGTAGTCCCCCTTGGCAATATTTCCCAAAAATGTAAGCTAAAATTTCTCAGGCCCTTACAGCGAGAGGTTATCGTTGCTGCACTGGATGGACACGATGTTTTCATTCAGGCTGCCACTTCATTTGGGAAAAGCTTATGTTTCCAACTGCCTGCAGTGATCGATCAAGGGAGTAAGTCTCGACGCCTATTTTCATTCATCTCTCAGCGCCAATACTTACGCCTCAGTAACCATTGTTATCTCGCCATTACTTTCATTAATGGTAAGTCAGAATCGGCCATGCGTTTCTCTATACTTACATCAAGCTAGACCGATCAAGTAAAATGCCTTACAGTCTGCAGGAATCGTAGCGGGTACAATTAATGGAAATACAGCTTGGCCCGAACGACAACGACTCCTTGCAGACCTTGAATCTGGTCACCCCCTAACAAGACTTTTGTATGTGACTCCTGAGTATTGCTCTACAGACAACTTCCGCAAACATCTTCGCACTGTGCATGAACAGCGAGAGCTTGCTAGGATTGCCGTTGATGAAGCACATTGTATTAGCGAATGGGGCCATGACTTTAGAAAGTCCTTTAAGAATCTCTCCTGGTTCCGAGAGACATTTCCTGATATACCAATTATTTGTTTAACGGCAACAGCTACGGATCAAGTACGGCAAGATGTTATAGGCACTATGGGTCTCTCAGAAACAAATTTGAAGGTTTTCAGAATGTCAACGAACCGCGAGAACCTTCATTATGAAGTGAGATTCAAATCAGATGAATCAGACTATTTCAATGATTTCTTACATTGGCTCAAGGGTGTTCACAGAAATCGAATGGAAACCCCAGAACGTCGGGCCGAACTGGAACAGAAGCGTGAACGCTTGGATAATGTGTCAGGAATTATCTACACTCTTTTTAGGCAAGATTGTGAGAATCTCGCGTCTAGATTGAGACATAGCGGAATAGGGGCCAGAGCCTACCATGCCGGACTCACTCACGAAGAAAAGACCGAAACATTAAATCGATGGATCAATAATGATAAGGGCTATGACGTGATAGTTGCGACAACCGCCTTTGGCATGGGCATAGACAAGGAAAATGTACGGTTTGTTATTCATTGGCAAATTCCAAAATCTTTCGAAGGCTTCTATCAAGAGGCTGGACGAGCCGGAAGGGATGGAAAGGCCAGCATACATATTATGTATTACAGCCGCGAAGATCGTGACCGAGCATACAACAGAGTTTCTCGAGATGCCAAAGAAAGAGTCAATCTAGAAGCTAGGATTAATAGCTTGAGAGCTTTGGTTTCATACTGCGAAGAAACTGATGAATGTCGACACAAGCTGATCTGCAAATACTTCGGAGAGAACGAAGTGCCTGCTTGTAATTACGCTTGTGATTGGCACAAAGATGTGAAAGCTTTGAAGAGAGCAAAGCTCAACAATTTGATGACTGAAGAATTTGTTAGCACACAAAGAGAACAAGGCCGCTTCGACAATGGATATGATGAGTATGATTGATCATAATGTATTTATCTTGCTAGCTTATCATGGCAATGGCTAAGTCCTGCTTACATTTGGTGCACGCATGTTGAGAATGCCATTGAGTTAGTTATAACTCAGGGAATCCACTTTAGAAGAATGATTGCTACAAAGCAGGGTTCATGCCCATGGAAAACACGAATGAAAGAGTCTATGTTCCCTCACTACCTATCCTTTGAGAATATTGAAAGATATTGCTATTGTAAAAGAGAACAACCCAAACTGTATTGACGGTGAGAGGCTATATATTCTGGGCTTTCGACCATCAACATTGCCACTCAATTCAACAAGATCACTCGCTTTTCATTTTAGCAACCCATTTTACTTACAATCCATTTCAACACAGCACAACTTCAGCTCTCGAATTCGGACAACATCAAACGATTTCACCATGAGTAACGATATTCCCAATGATTGGTTCCTGGTAAAGCTGACCCGATGGGAAGACGGCCATGAAACCAGTTCGGCTCTCCTCCCTGTTAACATTTCTTGCCGGTGACACGCCGTCTGGCCTCAGAAATGGGCTTCAGTCTGTTTACAAGCGCATTTGGGATTACTTCACTGTTATAGAGAGAGATGGCAACTCCTCCGACCGAACCAATCTTCCTTGGGAGCCGCCCTTAGACAAGGTGATGGTATTGAAGGTTTGAGCGTTGATTGGCAAGGCCTTGAGGCTGGCGACTGGCCATCGCAGCGGACTCTTGTGACGGAATTCAACCTACCTGGAGTTGTGAGACATTAAAATTTCTCATTTTCTCCTTCTATTTTCATTCATGAGGTCGTCTTCTGCAAACACAATATAACGATGGGGAGAGCTAACTTGATGGTCTTGGCATAGCGGGGGAAAGTTATCGACGAATAACAATGCAGTCATCCACTGTGTTGTCAAAGACAGTAGACTCGACGGAATTGCCTGGTGCCCCCCAAACAATTAGGGCATTTTAGTCAAGGATCAGATACATGAGACGAACCGAAAATGCTTATGAGAGCAGGATTTCAGAACGCGAGCCTCATTTCTGCAGTGTGCATTGGTTGTCTCGAAGGATTTATGAGAAAGGAGAATCGGAAAGTGTGAGGTTTTTGGGAGTGAAGAAAATGGGCGAAAGCATTTGAGGTTAATATCAATAACATTATGATCTCGTCTTGTCTAGTAGTTGATAAGTGGTGATATGTCTTAAGGTACAGAGACTGGTATGATTATGAAAGCCTTACCTAAAGCGCCAGCGGCAGGTGCAATCCCGCCTCCACGAAACCTTCACTCTGCTCCCGTCAATTCCAATGAATTATCCTTTTATCACTCGTCTCACCTCCTTCATCTCATCTCTTGGTCCACCCCATTCCGATAAGAAAGAACCTCCTATTTGCACACATCCAACAATTCAACAATGTCTCAAATATCCAAATTCTATATTCCATCACATCACAGTCTCCTAGGCGATCATTATTCCGCCCCGCCCAGTAGCCATTTTCACCCTTCCCACCAAAAGGGTTGTTGCATCCTGAACCCGGACCAGTCTACTTGGACCAGTCCAGTCTACATGGAATAAATCTGGATCCACTCTCCTTAACCCAACTCCAAACCTGAAAATAGATATGTATGCTTCCCAGACCCTTCCTTAGACCTTGACATTACACTAACAGCTCAGAACTTCGGGAGCCGAATGAAAGTTCAGCTGGGCAACTGATCACATCTCTCTTCTTCCCCAAGTATAACAAATTAATGTCTAATACTAGAAATACAATACAAATACTTCGGTTGGTAATGTGTATGTCTTCATTCTTAATTTACGTCAAGTACCGAAGGGGCAGTTTAACAAGACCATCAATAATTGCTCAGATACGAAGATATTACTGACGGATTTACCAGAGCAGTCAAGAGCAACTTTGTATAGACATCAATAGCGTGCACCAAAGACAGTGGATTCTGTTAATGCATTGTATATCCATTTTCATACCCTCTTGTATGTATGTTATGTGGGTAGTACCAAAAGACTCCGTGACATCTGAGACTTTCCCAGTCTCGCCCATAGTTATCCATTATGCCACACTCCTATCTACTCCAATTAGAGGCCATGTAAGAGTGTAAGGGGGTCATAAATCATCGTTCCCACATCCAAACCAAACGCCCCAAGAAAACGGAACCCCAATCCATACTCCCAATTACCCATCAAATATCTTTTGGGAGAAATTGCTTTTTCGAAGTTTTTTTCCCGTCCCTTCCTGTCACCGGTACAAGAACTCCTAATTTTCCACCCCTAATCGCCAATTCGATATCGTCTCGACTATCATCATCTCCCACAAAGATCGAACCACCTTTTCTGTCCGCCTTGGGAACATATTCTTTGTTCTGATTAAGATGCCAACCCCTATCCGCTCTCTCCTTTCTCACTTGTGCCGTAAGTAATATCCCAAAATTCGCTTTCTTTCCACCCCGTGCATCGATTTCTTTACGTTTAGCCTCGTACCAACTCTCAGATTGTTCTTTTGGCCAGACGACTCTAGGATCAATATTACCCCAGATTTGCATTTCGGCGGCATTATCTGATTGGGGCATAATGTTCTGTTCTTTTTCAACCTCAGCCCTAGCCTGTGATTCTTTCTGTAGATCTAGATAATGATCAAGAACGCTGGGATCATATGTTAAGCAGCGCAATTGACGTTGATACTCGATAGTGTTGGGCTTGTAATCGCCATAAAGTGGCGCAGAGTGCTTCGGCTCTTGCTGGTTCGGACTCTGTTGGTTCGATCTCTCCTGGTTCGGTCCCTCCTGGTATAATTGTGAAACCGTAGACTCCAACTCCCGAGAATTTTCGGTGGGCTGGAGAGGTATAAACTGATTCATTGCATTATTGATGATTTTTTGATGATGAAGTACTTGCTTAGACGGAGCTATCTTTTTTGCAACCATAGTTTCAGCTTTTTGCTTCTGAGCTAGACATAAGACGTCGCGGTTTTCACTTTCTGGGTTAAGGAACTGCATGTTTTGAGCTGTGGTATCTAGATTAGACTCTGGTGATATAGGCTTTAATGGCTTCCTGATCAAAGGAATTGTTAGAAATGGGATCGTAGAAGAAGCTGCCGAGGATTGTTCCTCGACAACCTCTTTTCGGTCGAGGAGGGAAGCTTTGCTATCAGGATTCTGATTCTCCGCAGAGGTTGATACTGTTTCAAGCGGTCGTCCACTTTTCTGCAAAACTCTGAGCTCGTCTTGTATTTGAGAGCCAGGGCTATCGTCCTGTTCAATATCGAGTTGCTCCACGTCAGATTGCCAAATATTGACATCACTGTCAACTTTATCTGGCGACGGTGGTTCGTATTCTGGCGAACAGCTAATATTATCTTTGATTTCACCTGGCGGTGGAGGCTCATACTCTGGCGAACAGCTAATATTATCTTTGATTTCACCTGGCGGTGGAGGCTCATACTCTGGCGACGATGGGAGTTCTGACGTTGATTGAATTATGGTTCGACTCGGAATTTTAGGTCTGAATGGGTTATATTAGATATATTCACTCAGTTTTCAATACATTAAACTTACCCTTCCGGCTACCGTCCATATTCGGTGCTTTGCTTGTTCTCATTTGTGATTGAGGGAGTTTCCTCGATGTGGGAGAATGGGGCAAGTTTTCAGCCCGGGGAGGTCGCGGTCCTAGAGTCGACAACGGGCCCTCCGAATTTGAAGTCTCCTGAGGTCTTGCGGTTAATTTATCATTGGAAACTGACTGAACAGAAAAACTACTTGGAGGCATTTGCTTATTATTCAAATCTCCAGGCTTTCTACCTCGTTTACGCTTCATTCCTTGCATGTCCTCGTCATACTTAACAGGGTAAAGTCTTGTTTTTTTGATAGGTTTCGAGACCGGTCTTGACATGGCTGATATTTGTGCTTTGCTAGCAAGCTTAGACCTCTTATTTTTCTCTGTCATCTCGTGCAGAGTACACAAGACTCTATCATCTTTGGTTTTACCCAACATGCTGTAAATCTGCTTGTTGCATCCAGGTATCTCACACACACCGCCCAGCGATTGCCTCTCTGGTGAAAACTCTGTTGGTGGTAGGCCATGTTTTCTAATACAATGATTGCAGTACCAATCACTATTTAATTTTAGCAATTGCCAACTAGCACAAGGGGAGATATTACATACGTGATGTCAGCTCCAACCGGTGGACGTGGCTTATGACAACTAGCATGCCATCGGGCTAAACATTTTGAACAACGATATAAAGGATCGAGTACGAGTTCCTCTCGTTTACACACCAGACATTTTATGGCTTTGCTAGTAGTTGAGAGTGAGGCGGTTGAACTCGTCTCGTCGAGCTTGTCTTCGGACTGAGCTTGAAACTAACAAGTTAGCAAATCTCTTTGAACATGATAGTCCAAATTTGTTAAAGAAGAGAACTGATTTTGTCTCAGGTCTTTTCAGTCTATAAAGAGTCGTCATATGGCTTGCTTCAGCGGTTGTGCAATGAGTTATAAACCACCAATGTGCGTCTTAACTGACTTCTACAGAAGATCGAGTCCCTTTGCAGCAATTTCAATCCCGCTTTCTATCACAGCCTTTGGTCATACATCTTGGAGCCATGTGATGTCTAACTCCGTATAGCAATAGTGTCCAAAGACATCAATTTGCCCTCATATTTTCATTGTTGAAGCTGATAGCCTTGAGCTAGAACAGTCTTGCCTGAAATGGAGGACGCCGCCAGGGTTTGATAATCGCAAAGGTAGTATCATCGACCATAGCAAGGAGACAGTATAACCAAAGCAGAACCAGAAGAAGCATTTTTGAGCACTCAGACCTTTTACCAGATGTTCATCATTGACATATGTATGAAAGTCAAAAAGTGAGAGTTCTACATACGCCTGCATTTCTTTTTATGCTTGAGAATGATTGCGATCTGAAATTATTGTCGAAGTTAGTTGCTGATCTGGTTGGAGCGACCTGCTTGCTGTCAAAGTCCATATTTTCTCGACAGAAACTTCAGAATAACGATAAGAGTTCTAGTCCTCCATTCTCAAATCTTCTTTCTCAACCGTATAGTTGTACCTAAAGGAAGAGGCATCAGGCTGTATCGTGAAATGTGTTGAGATGTCGGGTATATCAAGCATGAATAAATAAAAGAAGACGCGACTGTGGACGAGACGTTAGGCACGGGTGCACGGGTTTTTGCGGCCGCTGGTCATTGATTTTGCCTGAATACACCGCCTCGTTTTGCGCTTAACTTGGTATAGCGAGGGTCAATCATCGAATCGATAGGCAAAGCTGTCTACTTCTCTTTTACAATTGTTTAATACCACCTTACTGAGTATTGTATTCTTAACATTTTTCTTATTGCAGATTGCTTATGGATTTCTTGAAGTCTGCAGTCGCATCTGCGATATCAAAGGGACCTCCATTTCCCTACACATTCGGGGATCAGGTTGACATAGAGCAATCCATATGGAAGTTATACAATGGAACCAAAAGAGTATACGCCAGAGATGATTTTGGCACAGAATATGGAATTAATGGTATCATAGGAAGACGGTTCTAATTGTAGTATATTCTCCTTCGATGTCAGCGCAAACAAGTCTCGATTACCCCTAGCCAAAAATGCAGTTAAGAAGCTTCGAACGTTGAGACATCCTGGAGTTATCAAAGTGCTGGACACAGTCGAGGTATGAATTATCAACCATCGAATCATGTGGTATATCTGACTTGCGATATGGGAATAGACCGACACATACATCTATATCGCTACTGAGAGAGTGGTTCCTTTGAGATGGCATATCAAGAGAAAGAGCATGAGCCCGGAGACATTGAAATGGGGATTATTTAGCATAGCAGTAAGTTTATGGTTAGTACCATCTGTTATGCTTAAGTCTAATGGAACATATAGCAAACAATTAAATTTATCAATGACGAGGCATCGTCCGTCCATGGAATGCTTCGAGTAGGATCGATCTACACAAGTGAGAGTGGGGAGTGGAGAGTTGGAGGATTCGAGGTATTAAGCAATATGAATGATACTGAGGCAATTATTTATGTGAGCAATATGTGTTTCTGGTATATGGAATACCGAATGCTAAATCCTGCAGAACTATGGCAGTCTTGTACCCGATGCCGGACGATATACTCCACCAGAATTGGCGAGTACTGGCTGGGATTCTATCAAGAAACACCCAATATATGCGACTGATTCTTATAATTTTGGAACTTTGATTTTTGAAATCTTCAATGGGGACTTCACAGGGGGTGATCAAGCCGGCCAGACAAAGAATATACCTCCCAGTATGCAGTCAAGCTATAGACGTTTGGTTAATAGCAACCCCAAAGCTCGACTGAGCGTTGGCCATTTCCTTGAGCAAGGTCGTCGAAGTGGAGGTTTTTTTGAGACTCCCCTTATCAAGCTTACTGAAGGCGTAGATAATCTAGGGATGAAAACGGAAGCTGAACGAGAAGAGTTCTTGAGGTAAATTATCATATCAAAAGCACACCGAATCTAAGCTGACTTGTGGAGCGACCTTGATGAGCTTTCAAATGACTTCCCGGAGGATTATTTCAAGATGAAGATCCTTCCAGAGTTACTGAAATCTGTTGAATTTGGGGGTGGTGGTCCAAAAGTATTTAGTGTTGTTATGAAGATTAGCACTAAGCTTACAGATGACGATTTTGAAGCAAAGGTCACACCTGTCGTTGTTCGACTATTTAGCAGTCCTGACAGAGCTATTCGGGTGTGTCTTTTGGACAATCTTCCCCTTATGATAGATCGACTACCACAGAAAGTGGTCAATGATAAAGTCTTCCCCCAAATGGTAAGGGCAATTGCGCTTTATTTGCAAGCACATGCTGATTGAAACAGGTCACTGGCTTTACGGATCTTGCACCCGTAGTACGAGAGCAGACAGTTAAAGCAGTATTGACAATTATTGGGAAATTATCAGACCGGACAATTAATGGAGAATTGTTGAAATATTTAGCCAAAACTTCCAACGATGAACAACCTGGTATTCGAACAAACACGACAATCTGTTTGGGCAAAATTGCCAAGAATCTGGGAATTAGCACGAGATCAAAGGTGTTAATCGCCGCTTTCACAAGGTCCCTTCGCGATCCATTCGTTCATGCTAGAAATGCAGCCTTATTAGCATTAGCTGTCACAGCTGACTCATTCAGTGATGATGATTGCGCTAATCGCATATTACCGGCGTTATGTCCTAGTCTAATAGACAAGGAGAAACTCATTCGAGACCAAACAAACAAGACAATGGACGTTTACCTGCAGCGTATTCGCAAATCTGCTGCCGCAATGCCTGATACTGCCTTACCACCACCCACCACAGGTGAAGCTGCCTCATCATCTACACCCCGAATGAGTACGCCACAGCCTAGTGATGCAGGTTCGTCATGGGCAGGCTGGGCTATTTCTTCATTCACCAATAAAGTAGCTGCTGCAACTGGTGAAATTCAACCATCGAGTGGTGCTGTGACTCCAGACGCACGTCCGACATCAGCACGACAAGAAAATGAAGCTCGTCATTCAACTCAGTCTGCATCGGCTTTGCATCGCCAAGCTGTGACTTCACCAGTTGTTACTTCAGCTAACACGCCTTCGGCCAGTCACTCTTATTTCGGAGATGCAAACGCAGGAGAGGACGATATAGAAGCATGGGATGACATGGAAGAGGATGCTTTCTTCGATGCTCCTAGCGAATCGGCATCAAAAAATACTGTAGCCCCATCTTCGACTGCAACCCCCTTCGAAGATAATGGCGAACCGGATTTCGCGGGTTGGTTAGCAGCCCAACAAAAGAAACCAGCTCAAAAGTCATTACCAAAAGGCTTGACCAAGCCCGCAGCGAAAACAAACGGAAGACCTTTATCATCGTCAAGAACTACCACAACTAGTTCTTTGGGAACGAAAAAGGCAGCTCCTGTAGCGACCAAGCCAGTTGTGACTAAGAAAATAGATACAGCTCCAAAAGCTACAGATGAGGATGCTGATTGGGGAGATGGTTGGTAGGTAGATCGAGAATCTAGTTTTGTGGGCGGACAATGAGGTTTATGTATGTCACTTGTCTTGCGTGAAAATTGGCATGGCGTACTGGGTGAAACTGAGAGGGAAAATTGAGCATCCAAAGGCGAGAAGGCGTTTGAATTATTAATTCTTCGGCGAGTCACAAGTTCATTCGTGGTTAGAATGGATACTAGATACCTGGATCGCATACGAGTGCTTCTGCGAAAGTAATATGAATTGAGAAGTGTTTATATGCAAAGCATTCCTAATTTGGACCCCTGAGTTTGTTGTGTATATGAAACCTCATTGGTGGAAAATCCAACGGAAATTTAAGACAGTATAACACAGGCTTATATAGTCCTATTCATACTATTTATAGCGCTTTATATAGCCTCTAATCATATGATATAGCCTCATCTCGTGTTTGATCGTCGAACCCTTGACATCGCTAGGGGACCATAGCTCATGACGGACATGAGATACAAGAATTGGTAGTTATCCGTCCCCGCATGAAATCTTAGCATGGATGTTCTGAGACGATATATATGAGTAAAAGAACAGACGACGATCGGGAAGGGAAAGAGGAAGGTCGGGATGGTGATGAGCAGGTTATGTTGCATATCTGTGGGATTAATAGTTGGAGTTTGTTAAGATGTTGAGGTATGGGATGGGGTGTTATTGTGCATGGTGTAGTTCGTATAGGGCTGATGACAGCGAGAGGTTGAGTTGTGTAAGGTGGGATGGATGGATGGGCAGGTGTGCTATGTTTCATAAATTGATGATTTATAGGTCGTTAGTTCGTTAGGATCTCGATGGCTTGACTTCTTGAGCTCTTGGGTGAGTTGGTTTGATTTTCGAGGACGAGTAAGAAATCCTTGAAGTGGGATTGGGTGGTAGATAGGTATTTTGTTGAGGCATACAAAAACGTGTTACGAAAGGGAATCGTTCAATCAGCATTCAAGCAAAACTTCTACGCCCTCCTCTATTGCCCTCTTTTTGTTTTCCTGCCATTTAAGCCAGGCCATTCCTTGCAGTAGGCAATCTGCTAGATCGTCAAGTTTACCTACCTCGTCTTCTTTCTCTGTTATTATCTCATCTTCTTCCCTATCCTCGTTTTTTCTCGTTTTACCTTTAACCTTGAATCCCTTCGCTCTCCCAGCTTTCCTATCCCACTTTGCCGTGTATCTCTCCTTCACCTCTCTAACCTGTTGACTACCTATCTGTACCATTTCAAGATGATTCTGAGACGTTCTATTTTCCTTTTCCCCAGCTTCTAACCACCCTCTAACTAAATCAATCTTGGCACCCTTGGTCCTCGCCTTCACTTCCTTTGTGTTCCTAACCTTCTTGAACTTCCCCTCCTCTCCATCTAATAATCCGCTCTCTTCAACCCAGAAGCTCCCTACTTTCCTCGGCGCAATCTCAATTACTTCTCCGCTCCATACTTTCTCTTCAGCCAATGTTTTGAGAGTAGCCCACAACATACTTTCTAACATGTTTACTCTAATCGTCCATTCTAAAATATGTTTGGAGCCCATGGAGCGGAAGCGTTGGCGCTCTATCAGAATATGGGTGGGAGAGAAAGGAAGAAGAGTATGTCGAATTAAGGAGTAGGCTGCGGTGCTTAGAATGGAGGGAGTAAACTCGTTGCGGGTTTTTTCTTTGGTCTCCGGATCGGCATTTAGAGGGGATTGCGGGAGGAGAGAAAGTTTTTGCCAGGATTGAAGGATAGGGATGGGAATTGTAGGATTTAAGTTCTTCTTGGAAGATCGCGACTTGGAGGTAGGTTTCGAGGAGGGGATTTCGAGGAGACAGAATGAGAAATTACGGATTCCCATATCAATGCTCAAGATACGCAGAGGTTTGGCGTCGGCTGACGAGCCTTTCGTGTTTGTCGAAGTAATTTGTGGAAGCTCATCTTGGAGACGTTGAATGATGAGAGGTTTGGTGCCAGAAGTCGAGATGCCACATTTGAAGGCAATTTGTTTGAGAGCCGCAGCTTTGAGGGTGCTGGGAACGGTGATTGCCATTCATGATCGTTTATGCGGGCTGGTGTTGATCGATATGAGAGTGATCTGGATAGCAATTCCCCCCCCCCAATTTTTTTTACCCTTGCTTGATCCTTATTACGATAAGAACTATGCTGCTTGGTGTGCATGCAGAAGGTGCTCACCGGGAAGGAGCACTGGACTACTCAACTAACTCTAGCTCAGGTACTCGGGTCTCTCGTATATTTACTAGATTCGGGTTAACAGGCCACTACATTGGCTATGGGAATGGCGTGAATGAGAGCAAGAAGTCGATGATGGAATGAATTGCAGCAACGCCGGCCTTCCGCATTAAGGGTTGGGCGATTTGATGATGTATAATATCGTATATTCGTTAGTTAAATATAATTTACAATATTAATCAAATTGTATTATTTTTAGTATAGAAAATAGGGATTTTGAAGATTTCTTTTAGTTTTACTTGTGACGAATATCACGTGACATACATGATGACTCATCACAGCCTAGTTCAAGACTAGCTTGAACTAGACGTATATAAGAGATAAAGAGATCCCTTAAGGATCCCTTTCCTCTTTACCTTTCTTATTCTAGTTATTTGACCTCTATGTGTTGGTTCGAGAAAGATACGGGAGACGTGGTTCCCACTATTCGTAGGCCCCTAAATGTCTGTATTGTATTCTATCTAAAGAGCTAGCTAAGTGGGAGAATAGTAGGCCTTATATAGGCACTACTGAAAGAGCTAGTCTCTTTCGCATTCGCCTAATACCTTTGATACAGTAGCCATTGTATTGAACTCATTCCTTTGAAGTAAATACCCTTGTTCACACACTATGATATGCTCTAGTATGTAATCTGTGACGATTGCATCATTTAGAATACTAAGGTGAAGAGCTAGAAGAGCTCTTCGGAAGGAAGTGGTAATATACAGGATTGTGGATCACGTGAGGACCTAGCCGATCCACTAATATGACAGGATCGTCACATAATCGTGACATTAATAGATTAATAGCTACTGCTTTTAGTATAAATTTTATTGATTTATATTCCTTTTAAATATTAGAAAGCTTTTTCATAAAGGCTTAATCCTATTAAGATAAAAATTGTATACTTTTTTTTATAGTATTAATAGATTAATAGCTATTGCTTTTAATATAAATTTTATTGATTTATATTCCTTTTAAATATTAGAAAGCTTTTTTATAAAAGTTTAATTCTATTAAAATAAGAATTGTATACTTTTTAAGTATATAAATATTTTGAAAAAAAAGCTTTAAGTTTGATCGAATTATAAAAGATTAATATAGAAATCATATGATTAGCATTTGACTTTTAGATTTAATTACATATTAAATTGAAAATTAGAATCTATTAAAAACTTTTTTCAAAAATAATTTACTTTCATTTATTCTGATGATTTTATTGGCCCAAAAAACTTATATATAAGCTTAGCATAATATTATATATATTTCAAAAAGCGTAATAATATGAAATTATATAATCGACCCCCAAATTATATAATTCGCTCATCCCTATCCGCATCCAATAAGAATAATATGTACAGCCTGCCTACCTACCTAGTAGGTACTCGTCAATTGAATCCTTGAGAGATTGTCTGTCTGTTAAACACAGTGCTCATTGAAGCAGTTCAATAACATTCATTTTTGATATTCCAAATACCTTCACCATGTGTATTCATAAGCATCAAAGGATCTGGCTAGATAGGCTTAACAATTAACAAATGGAAGAGCCGAGGTTTCTGCTGAGAAATCAATAAATCGTGATGAAAACTCAAAATTTCGAACTCCATCTAACAAACCCTTCATCGTTGTCGAATACCTCCAAGCTATTCAAGTCTAGACTTTCGTATAGTGTAACCCAATCTGACACAATTGGTAATCGACATCTGGCACCTCCTCAAACGTCAGCCAATCCTATCTCCACCCTTGTAAACAAGCTCTACGTAGGAGAAAAAACAGGCCGGAATTGATTACTACGTAATGGTACTCGTGCGGTCAGAAAGTATGCAACTCCTGCCTCAATAGGATTAAGCCACTGTGGGAAGCTTTCTAGTGCTTAAAAGGGGTATAAATAATTAAACTTTGTGCTGAAAGTAGTAGGGCTTCGATATAAGCGAGCCATTCAATTGATTTATTTTTCCAAATCTCCATTTAATATAGTGGGATTAGAAAAAGCAGTGGATTCTATTGGTTTATTAAAGTCGATATAGTATATTTAGCGCCGGAGTTGCATACTTTCTTGCAGCACAAATACGACCAAACAACACATAGAGAGAGGTGTTACGCATTGGTCAATTCCGGCCTGTTTTTTCTCCTACGTAGAGACAAGGCCCCCGCCAAAAACTATAGAAATCCACCCCTCCTTCCTCTTTGCTTTGCTTTGAAAAATAGCTCTCATGCAAAGATTTACTTTTCTTGTCCGATCATCTTCCAAGACGGCAAACACTAGACTTTCTTCTCTTTCTCGTCAATTTTCAGCGACAACTTTCAATATGGCGCCAGTCCCTAAGGAGTGTGACTTTTTGGTCATTGGTGGTGGTAGTGGCGGTCTGGCTACAGCCAGAAAAGCAAGTGGTGTTTATGGTGCAAAGACTATTGCAGTAGAGAGCAAGAGACTTGGTGGTACTTGTGTCAATGTTGGGTGAGTGAAGGGTTATTCTTCGTCTTCTTCATCTCTTTCAAAGATATCCACTAATGAATAACAGTTGTGTACCAAAGAAAGTTACATTCAACGCTGCCGCAACCGCAGAAGCCATCCACGAGTCCAAAGCCTACGGGTTCTCGGTCGAGACCACCGCACCATTCAATTGGTCATATTTCAAGAACAAGAGAGATGCATACATCAAGAAATTGAATGGTATTTACGAGAGAAATCTCGGCAATGATAAAGTCGAATATATTCACGGCTTCGCATCTTTGACTGGAAAGAATGAAGCAGAAGTGACATTGGACGATGGCACCAAGCAAATAATCAAGGCCAAGAAGATTCTTTTGGCAGTTGGAGGTCGTCCTACTGTTCCCAAGGATATTCCTGGTGCAGAGTACGGTATTGACAGTGATGGATTTTTCGATATCGAGAGACAACCCAAGAAGGTCGCTTTGGTTGGCGCTGGATATATTGCAGTTGAATTTGCAGGAATGTTCAATGCTCTTGGTACGGAAACACATTTGTTCATCCGTCATGACAAGTTTCTCCGATACTTCGATCCTATGATTCAAGAAGCTATCACAAATGAATATGAACGTTTGGGCGTTAAATTGCACAAGAACTCTAGCCAGAGCAAAATAGAAAAAGATGAGAAGACTGGTAAACTTACCATCCACTACGAGGATTCCAACGGAAAGGGTGTTCTCGAAGATGTGGATGAATTGATCTGGGGTATTGGAAGATCTCCGGAAGTTGAGAGGCTCGGCTTGGACAAAGCAGGCGTCAAACAAAACGAGATAGGTCAAATCATCGCTGACGAATATCAAAATACCAATGTCGAAAACATCTTCTCTCTAGGTGATGTCGTCGGCAAGGTTGAATTAACCCCTGTGGCCATTGCCGCTGGTCGCAAACTCGCCGATCGTCTATTTGGAGGCCCTCAATTTAAGGACTCAAAACTCGACTATAATAACGTTCCTACTGTCGTTTTTGCCCATCCAGAAATCGGTACTATTGGTCTTACTGAACCAGAAGCTATTGAACGCTATGGAAAGGAAAATATTAAATGCTACAATGCTAGTTTCACAGCAATGTATTATGCAATGATGGAACCAGAAGATAGACCTCCAACTAAGTACAAGTTAGTCTGTAAACTACCTGAGGAGAAGGTTGTTGGTCTTCATATCTTGGGATTGGGCAGTGGTGAGATGTTGCAAGGCTTTGGAGTGGCTGTCAAGATGGGAGCTACAAAGAAGGATTTCGATAACTGTGTGGCTATTCATCCTACTAGTGCCGAGGAGTTGGTTACAATGAAGTAGAGAGGGGAGATAGATGAGCTTAGATAGATAGATACATGGATAGCGCGGTAAATATTAAACGAGACATGCGAAATGGTCTACCAATATATTTCTAAAGTTCTTGGCTTCATGTCTTCTGTCCTGTTGACTTTCTTGGAATCAAAAGACTTACTTTTGTGGCTGCCTACCTAGCTTCTAACATAATTTAGACGAGAGCAGGTGAAAGGAAATTTTTCCAAGATAGCCTGATGAGGACTTTTTACAGACTGCAGCATGCATTTAAGATTTGGATTCAACCGTCATCTCTGTATGTATGGGGAATGCAACTCATATTGTGCGTGTTGACTTTCCGAGAGAATGGTACCTCGGTAGATCAGGTGGCTGTTCTACTCAGGGTTTTATGTTGTGTTGTGTTTTATTTTGTTTCTGTTTTTGCTTTGTTCTATGGAAGGAGGGGTGCAGCTTATTTCCTAGCGGATAATGAGGATTGAAGAATTTATGGAATTTTTTGTGTGGATTGTTGGGGTTGGACTCGCATACCCGACCCCTGATTGTACTTTTTTTGATGTGTTCGGTCGGGATTGGTGGAGATGACTCTGAAGATGACTGATTCTCTTGATTTTTTTTGGTCTAGTTCTTCATGAATCGGAACACCTATCCATTTAGTTCTTCATGTATCCAGCATGACCACATGTCTTAGTAAGTTCGCACAAGGCGCTCATCGAACTTCAGTTGTGTTACCTAGTTGGACACAAGAGATACTCCGATAGCTCGGCGATGACCCAGATCATGCATCAGAAATTTTTGGAACTAATATTTGATACCTAGGTAAAGCTAAAGCTAAAGATAATCTAAGAAAGAGAAAACCGTGTATGCAAATTCCTTGCTATCTGACGTAGACCAAATCTTCCCCCGCCACCTTTCCTATTTCTTATGCCATGGATACCCTTTTTCTGGCTGGAGTACATCCCGTTTCGTTCTATATGCGTTTTGTGTTAAGAGATGTAGATACCAGGCGCTAAATTTCTTTTTTTTTTTAAAAAAAAAAAAAGAAAAAAAAAATATTCCCAAAATACCACTTGAGATATCTTTTGATATGTAAGTTTGGAACAAGGAACATAGATGATGAAAGAAGTTAAGTGTTAGATAGATAAAGCTCAGTCAAGCATTATTTATCTAGTCGCTCAACTCAATAACTTCCCTCCCAGTACTACTTCTCATCACATCATTCGCTCCTATCTCCCGACGATATCTTCTATCTACACCCTTTCCTTTCCATCCTCCACTGGCCACTCCATCACCAGTGAAATCGCCGGTGAATGCCTCACGTGCCCTGGCGGCTGGAGTTGCAACCGTTCTCAGCACTCCACCTGACATTCCCTCCATTCTATCTTCTTCCTTGATATCTTCATTCATCTCCTCATCTCTGTCCTCAGTTTCAACCCTATTGTTTGCTTTCGATTTCGCTACGTTCGCAAATTCTTTTTTCACCACAACTCCTCTACTTACTGTAACCGAGTCTAGGGTCTGTCGTTGTCGAGCTGCATCAAGGCCTTTTCCTTGTCGCTTTTTGTTACCAACCGAATTCATACTATCATGACCCCTGTTTATTCCTCTCCCTGCAATTTCTGTTTCACCTGCCGTCAAACTTCTTTCGCCATCCTTGACTTCTCCTTTGCTCCCCGCGCAACCTCCTCTCAGTGTCCTAACAAATAGCTCCCCGTCTTCCCTCAATAATCCCGCATCAGCCCTCACCCCATCTGGATAATCCTCCCTTCTACTCGGACTCCCCGCCAACTGAATAACCCTGCCCAGAACAATTCTTCCACCCTTCTTCCCTCCCTTTTGAACCTTCCCATGGAGTTCATAACACGTATCACAAAGAATCAAACCACATCCTTTCACATGTGATTGACTACCCTGCGTAGAATGCGACAGACTCCTCCGCCCATTACACGTATCCCCAAATTTACAGATCCAATCCCCAGGCCTCGGACAAACCGCGCACCATTTCGCTCTCCACACCAAATCCGCCCGACTTCCCCGCTCCGGCGTCTCCCCACTACCTTTCATCCATTTCCCCTGCATCATTCCTTCCTCGCAGGCCTTCACACTATCTCTCACTAACCTATCATCTCTCATTCGCTCATCCAGTCCTTCTAAAGGTTTTAATTCGTGTTCTACACACCCGAGAATTTTGACTCGCTCGTATGTACATTTTACACACATTCTCGTGGCGTCATTGCCGGCTCCACTATCTCCCCACCCATTTTCGAGTTCTTCGTATCCGGCTCCGGTGATGGAGGGCCAGGGGACAACAGTGACGTGGCGGATGCCGTAACCGAACAGCCCGAAGAAGGGAGTGGAGTGGAAATCGCAAGGAGGGTAGAGAGCCATTGGGTCGCGCTTGTAGTTGAATGTGAGGGGGTGCGCAAAGGAAGTAGGAATGATTATGGTGCGGATGCCTTTGTGATGGAGGGCGAAGGTTGGAGGAATGAGTTGCTTCGTAGCTTGTGTGGAGTATTTGAGGTCGTATGAAGGTAGTCTGCTGAGGGAATCGTGTTTGTTGGTGGAGTTGATCATTGAGAAGTGCTCATCGGGAGAAGCAGAAGATATAGCTCTCTCGTAGGCTTTTTGTTGGACTTTGGTGCGTCGAGAATGAGGATTTGTAGTGCGCCACTCTCGATCGTTGAGTCTAGTTGATTCGAGAATGATGGTTTGAGTAATATCTTGAGGGGTTCTGAGAACTGGAACGGTTTCTTTTCGATTTGATTTGCCTTTTTCCTCATTGGAAGGTGTGGGGACTGGGAGTGGTAGCATTGTGAAAGTACAAGGTACTTTTGCTTTGATGCAGCGATTGCATGGTCCTTCTTCATCGCGCTTCAGCGTACATTTGGCTTTGAATTCGAGTCTGCATCGGTTGCACGAAACGTATTTCCTGGGTGCGGCTTTCGGTTTCGCAACGTTGGTGACCGTAGCTATAGCTGTTGCCAACAGTTTATTCGCAATCTCTTTTTTACTATTCGAGCTTCCCTTTTTCTTAGCCCCAATATTCTCAAGAACATCCGTCATCCGCATTGAAGGTCCCGAACCAGCTTTAGGGCCAGCAATACATTTTGCACCAGCTTCCTCGCACGCTTTGCAAGAATCAACATCCTTTCCACCATCATCCGCATAGGAACATCGCTTTCGCAGCTTTTCCTTGCACCGAATACAGGAAAGTTTTAGTTCGGGCGGGATGATGAGTTCGCAATCGATACCTGCATCTTCACAACTCTCACAAGGCCATTCGTGACTATATTCTATGAGAGAACATTCGTCGTCGCCGGCTTCGAAACAACCTTTGCAGCCACGACGTTGGAGGTGACCGTTGTTGAGATCAGAGAGAGTTAGGCCGTCGGATCTGGGGTTGTTAGTTTTGTTTTTCTGTAAAGTAATCAGGGGAAGGAAAATAGAGTGTACCTTCGGTTATGTGAAGTTTTGATCCTCTTCCTCCTTGTTGAGGGGGTCGAATAATCAATCGCAATCTCCTCATCTTTATCATCATCATCATCATCATCATCATCATTATCACTCGAATCTTCATCATCCGCTTCATGAATCGGTGGAAAGTTCCTCTCGTCATCTTCAGGACCCGGCGTGATTGTTCTCAAATACTCCAATCCTCTTTCACTAGTCAATCTAATCGTAACCACCAGCTCAAATGACCCCTGTTCCTTCGTTTTTCTCTCAATACCCGTACCCACGCTCTTTACAGTTTCTCCTCTATTCTCCTTATTCTTCTTAGTCGTCGCTCTCGTACTCCTCGTATTTCGTTTCCGTTCTAAACTCGGATCATAGGTTCCGCTATCATCTCTATCAGCGCCAGCGGTTCCAATTCGATGCGCTTGTCCTTTAATAGCGGCAGTACGTTTGGTGCTGTTGAACATAATACTTAGTTCTTGGAAATTACAGGGCATATTACATCGCATGGATGGAGAGGAGCGGTATGAGGGGACAGAGAAAGTTTCCGAGGCTGGAGCAGCAGGGGCGTTAAAATCAGGGGCTTCGGGGAAGAGCTGATGGAGCGGGAGCTGGTGTTGCTATCCATTTCGACGTCTGAGTTGTCATCGAGGCTAGCGTCTGGATCGATGTCGGGGTCTTGCTCCGGCTCAGGGTCAACAGGAAGTAGATCCACTTCGGAGCTTGGGATGATGGACTGAACAGTGTTCGAAGTTTCAACGGTGCTATTTGGTGCATTCGAGAAAGTGCTCGCTTGTGCTGAGGTTGTTCTGGTCGACTTGCTGCTCGGAACATCTCTGAAGATGCTAGTCTGAGCAGGAACAGGGCTTTTCGGATGAGTATTTGAAACACTTCCAAATATGCTTGTTTGAGCAGAAACTGGACTGCTCATAATACCACCTGAGCCATTTGAAAAATTACTTGTGTGAGCAGAGCTGGGGCTGTTATCGGTGCTGCTAGGAACATCAGAGAAAATGCTAGTGTAGGCAGTAACTGGGCTTGTCATGGCGCTTTCGGCATCTTTAGAAAGAATACTAGCCTGAGCGAAGTTTGCGCTGTTGAACATACTGGGAAGGCCGAAGATGCTTTCATTGAGATTCTCTTGATTGTTGTCGTTTGTGACATTTAGATTGTCATCATCCGGGTTGGGATGGGATTTGTTGTTCATATTTACCATTGTTGAATACTAAATCGATTCAGACTTGTTAGTGACGAATCTATGAAGACAGCGATGAAGAAACGAAACGACAATGCTAGGCATTGTATATACTCCTTGAGTATAAAGTTGACTTAGAACTAAAGTGTATGTCAAAGGTAAAAGACGACAAGGTTGCTATAATCAACAGTAGTTGTTGTCGTAGAGTATGAAGTATCGCCAATATATCATATACTTTATGCCATTTGACAAAAAGGCAAGTGCGAGGTACATATAGGCAAGTATAATATAAGATGGAGAGGAAATACAAAGTGAAAAAGAAATCGTTCATCGTTAATGAAACCCCGATGAAAGTCACTACATTCAGTTGATGAAGTGAAATTGGCGAGTGCTGATGAAGCGAACTTCGTTCCCCTAAAATGCAGAACCACAAAACTAATGAACCGAAAAGGTGAAAAACTACTACAATGAAAAGGTCAACTTACCTTCGAATTTTCCTCCGAGAATTTGTAGAAAGATATTAGAGATCCTGGGGAACAATTTCCAGTTAATGACAAGTGATTTGGAGCTGTGGTGGTGGAGTTGTGTAAGTTTTGTTGGATATTGGATATTGTTGTAGGATGGAAAAGTAGGCTGAGGCGTCCGAAGGACTTGGTTACTACCAGTTTGACATGGCCCGTGTGTACACTACTTTCTGCTTATTGGTATTAAGGTGTATAACAAATCTTGTATGAGCTCTTAGAACTTGGTGAAGGCAACATGAAAGATGCACAGAAGTGTGAAGAAGAATACAGCACAGTTCTATGCTGAAAATATATGTTCTCGTATCCAGCAAGTTCCATGGCTAGAGAAATTTATGTACAGATTTCATTAGCAGCAAAGCTATCTTGTCCCTTCCGAATAATATATATTCACCCACAGTACACTTTTGCAGCAACCAGCAACAAAGAAATGAAACAAGACTATGTAATTACTGAACTGAATACAGGCTCTAAGCACGAATTTAAACTATGTCAATAACCTTTTGTACTACTAACAACATTTCGCTGATCAAACGTATACAAGTCATGCTGCCAAGGCCGGAACCAATTCCTGGGAGGTTGTCCGAGAGGCTGTTCGGTGTATGAAGCTGGTGCAAGAGACATACAAGGAAAACATCTTAGATTAGAATTCTGAGAATTTTAGCAGACATCCAGTGAGTCTCTAGCCTTGCTTGAGTTCATCGACTTACCTTCTTAGTGATGAAGAATTGCTAGAGGCCATTCATTCACTATCAACCTTCAATATCGCTGATGAAGCTATTAATGCTCCGAATAGATTCTAACAATATCCGAAGATGATTGCCTCATGATCCGAGCTCATTCCTTGCTATCTCTCAATAGAATAGAAGGAACCATTTATCGCGCGGTAGACTGAGCTGCCTTGGACACTATCTGATGGTGTAGGGCACGAAATGCTACACCTCACACTCTTTCCAATCCAACCCTCGTTTATAACAAGAATGAGAACGCACAAGTGCACAATTTGAAGTACCATGGACGAGCACATGATCAACGTCACAATTGAGGGTCGAAGAGTCCACATAAGGAGTCGGGCCATCTTATCAGATCTATTGATCAGGAAAGATGTTGTCCGCACCAGAATCGATGTGAAGCCATCGAGGAAGACGAATATCTGTACGCCTAAAGCGAAGAATCCAAGCAATAAATACAATAGTTCAACGGTTTCGCATGTCGGGTCTTTTGATGTCTGGTCTCGTAATTCTCGAAGCATGTATTTCATGTACTCCAAATAGAAAAGTACCGAAAATCCAAATAGACGTCCTGCACCCCAAAAGAAGTCTTGTATATTCCTTTGGTCCAACGATTCCATTGTATCGTTACTGTGAGGTGGAGGATGGGAAACCAATTGTTATTATGAAGAGGTGATCAGAGCTCTATCCCGTAATGAGTAGATATTCTGGCGTTGTTAAGTCGATTTGACGATTAGAAGAAGCAGAGAATTGTCTGTTTGACTCTTTCTACCCACATCAAACGTTGATGCCATGAGGGGAAGGTCCGAAGGTGACCAAAGCTAATTCAAGCTTTCTTACAACATGACGTTCAATAGTTCCTTCCCTAGGTCTGATTTGTGGATTATGAATACAGATCGGCAGTACCTCGAAAATCAAGAACCCTGGCACCTTCAAAATATTCGAAAGTTTTGTTTTGGATTCTTTAAAGGTTTACACAAAGTAAATTGGTAGGTAGCTTCTAACTCTCAAGGAAGAAAAGGAAAGTTAGAGTCATGTATAGAGTGTTTGTGTCTCGTGAAAGAATCGATTAACTTGTCAACATTCTGCTCACTTATTGGAAAGGGCATGCCTCTACTTTTAAAATTGCAAAGAATCAGACCATTCAATATCAACCCTAGCTTCAGATATGTTAATGTTAACTTTTTTCCCCGTGTTTTCAAGCTCCGAGTAGATTTCTTGAGCTTCGAGGTAAGGAATCTAGGGTGACACACCATCATGCATTAGAGAACCAAACTATCAGATACTCCGAAAATGCGATTGGAAGAAAATAAGTTTTCTGATTCATGACTGTGAAATACTGAATGCATATTTTGAGGGATGACAACCGCAAGTCAGCTAGATCCGATTGACATGTCATCGGCTCAAATTCGGTCTAGAGTAAATATCGGTGGATACAACTAGTATGATGACTAAGCGAGCTCGACAAATCAAATTTTACATTTTCTTTGCAACCATAAAATGTTTTGCCTCCAAGATAGTCATTAACGCACACAACTTTGTACAATTCAACAATTATGGTAAAATTCCATTGATGATTGCTTCTTCCCTCTCCCATATGGCGGGATGAGGATTCTTTTAATTCGGCACGGCGAGACCGTCGATAATGTTGCCAACGTATAGTAAGCTTATTCCGCTTTGCAATATTTTCAATCTTTCCTTTAGCTAATTTTTTCAAGTGCCGGCGTCACAGACTCTGCACTAACGAACCATGGCGTATTGCAAGCCAATAGACTTGGCACCCATCTCGCCGCTTCGAAAATTTCCCATATATTCTCTTCCGATCTTCAACGAGCCATCAAGACAGCAGAAGCTGTTCGTGTTGCTCAGGACAATGTCCCTTCTTTCGAAGTGACAAAGCTTAAGCTTCTTCGAGAACAAGACTTTGGTCACTACGAAAGGAAACCATTTCATGAACGTTCAAAAGATTCAAATAAAACCGGCAAGGAAGTTCACTCAGAGGCACACCGAATGGATCCAGGATTCAAGGATGTGGAGTCACAGGAATCGATGAAGAGGCGGATGGAAACATTTGTCAATGAGCATCTGATGCATCTTCTCAATATCGATGAAAACAATCTGATTGATCATACCATTGCTATCGTGGCTCATGGTATCATTTTGAATCATCTCTGGCGAGTCATCCTAAGACGGTTCAATCCAAAGAATGTCTCCATTGGTCCTGATGTTTTAAGTCCTGAACGTGGACTAGAATATCTTGGTGGTTGGTCAAATACTGGCTACTTGGATTTGGATATCAAGCCTATTCAAGAAGTGTCACCTTCCAAAGTTGGTTTGGTGCCTTCATTATTGAATGAACAATCCAATGCTCAAACCTCGATGGAGCTACTGAAGAACAAGATTGATCATTCCGAGATTTCTTTGGATAATCAATCAAATGTTCAAGACACAGTGAAGCCACCAAATCATGCTGTTGACAAGGTCGAGATTACCATGTCGCTGATGATAAAGTCTGTTGATAATGTGGATCATCTCAAAGGGCTTAAGAAAACCCGAGGTGGATTAGGAAGCTTAAAACATGATTCCAGCCAAAGAACCATGGACTCATTCTTCAAAAAGAGAAAGCTTGGATGATACAATTTTGGTAAGCATATCTGTTTTTATTTTATAGGAGGATGGAGAGTAATATGATGATATACCTTATTCACAGACCTGTTCTGTAATCTTCTATGTGGACAAAAAAAGTACCAACTGCTGTCTGATTACTCTCAACTTCATCATTATATTCTTGAAAAGACTTGAAGGCACCTTTTGCTAACATATTCATTAGATCTTGTACTCCAACAGGCAAATTGCCTTCCACAGCGTATGTTGATTTCGTTTTTCTCCCGGTCTTTCAGTTCCAACTTAGTTCTTCAATTTTATTATATTTTACAAAATCATATGCTGCCTTAATATATGACAATTTTTGTGAATGATGCTCAACCACTGTGAATGCCTCTTGAATTGCACATTAATAGAATACATCTTTCTTCCATCACCCACTCTACTAACCAAATGTACTGCATCTACATCTCATGACCTTCGCCTATTCCTCTTGGCCCCTGCGAAAGTGGCAAAATAGGCAAAATAAGCGTCTCACCACCACCAACAACAGTCGTACGATTTCTAAGCGAAATAGTATGATGTCGTACGATGAGACTCCTTCATGAATTTTGACTAGCGAATGGGGTTGGAAGAAGTTTAGAAGTACCGGTGATAAAGAAGAAATCAAGGGATTTGTTGCATGTCTGGATTTGGGCCCGAGTTTGTGCGGTGTATGGCATTGGATGGGAGGCAAAGTGTGGGGGGGGGGGAGCGAGGGAATGGGTGTGGAAAAGATTTTGTTGCATGTCTGGATCTGAACCCGAGTTTGAATGGAAAATTGCGGATGATGAATGAAGGTGGAAGGACGAGTGGATACAGTGGGCCAAAGCCAGGCGAGAGGTGAGTAGCAATAGATGGAGTGATGATTAACTGACGTGTAGTTTTACTGATGTTTAGTTTTACTGATGTTGACAGGGTATCATTTTGGGCGTGTTACATATACCACAGTAAGGGAAAATGTATGCACATAATTGTGCGTGTTCTTTCTTTATCTTAATGCATATCTTCCTGGGTGGGATACTGCATGCAGTATCGAATACTACTCTCGATGACGAATCAGTAGAAGAATCCCTCTGCTTCCCCACACACAACTTGCACTTTTAACCGTTCTCTCTCGAAGAAGTGCACCACAAATAAGAGAAATCTCAAGCTCAGATAGATACTAATAACATTCCAAGTTCATATGTTTCTAAATTAAACATTAATGCATTATATTTTTGCCGTGTATTTATATCAATCATAACGATCTTTCCCATTGCGCTAGGTGTCCATTGTCTTCCCCTCTCGTCCATTACCACCTCGTGTAAACTCTGGTAAACAAACCATCAAACGCAAGCAACACAAGATATCAACGCAGAACAAGATAAAATCCGAAAAATCCAAATCCAAGCAAAGTCTCAACAAAAGTCATTCAAAACATCAAATCAATAACTCCAAAATGGAAACTTTAAAGTAACAATAATCCTCCAACAGCAAATCCAACAAGTCCGATGACAGCACCGCCTTCAAGTGCCTTAACTCTCTCAGCACCACCAGTAAACTGTCCGAGAATAGCTCCAGCACTAGTTTCAGTAGGTCCGCCTCCAGGAGCCAGGGTCGTGAATGTTTGTCCGGCAGATGTAAAGGTGGTAATGACTCCAGCGGGAATTGTAGTCGTGAGAGTAAGTCCCGAAACAACAGTGGCTTCGCCGTTGACGGTGATTTCGACACCTTGAACGGTTTGAACTCTGTTGTTGGCTGAGATGGTAAGAGGAACGATAGGAGCAATGGGTACAATGGGGATGGAGGTGATGGTTGTGATGGGTGGGTTGACGGTGGTGATTGTTGTGAGGACGGGGAGGATGGTGATTTCGGGGAAATTGGTGTTGGGTGGTGGAACGACGTTGCCTTGTTGAGTACCAGTATTGGTTACAACAGGTGGAGGAACCACATTGGTTGTTGGGATGAGAGGAGGTGGAACAACATCTGTGGTTGTTTGAGGAGGGGGTGGAACTACATTTGTGGTTGTTTGGGGAGGAGGAACAATTGGGGTTGTGGGTGTAGTAACGATGCCGGAGTTGCCACCGGTTCCGCTTCCAGTGTTGGTAGCGGTGGTAACAGGTGGGGGAGAAGTCGTTGTGACGACACCGGAACTTCCACCTGTAGCACTACCGGTTTGAGAACTTTCACGACTGGTTGTAAGACCAGATCGGGTGCCAGTTCCAGTGCCTGACGAAGATGAGGAAGATGAGGATGAGGATGAGGATGAGATGGAAGAAGAAGTGGAAGAAGAGCTTCTCGAAGTACTGGAAGTACTAGAAGTTCTTGAAGACGACTCAGAGGTGCTTCTGCCGGTGCTAGAAGTTGATGTTCGGCTGGTTGTAATACCCGATATAGTACCGGTTGAGGAGCCTGTTGAAGAACTTGATCGAGTTGTGGGTTGAACCGTACTGGTTGGACGGACCGTTATGGTAGAAGTGACATCGATGGTGCTTCTGATGGTCGTTGTGGAAAGTCGCTGAGAGGTTGGTGGAGGTTTATGAGAAGTTGGTGGAGGTTTTTCAGAAGTTGGCTTGACGGGTTTGGAACTATGGTGTCCATTGTCGTTATCATTGACATTCACGTTTGTGTTTTCATTGACATTGGTGTTGCTGTTGCCATTTGAATTGCTATTTCCATTCTCGTTGGCATTGCCGTTTGAGTTTCCGTTGCCGTTTCCATTGCCATTTCCATTGCCATTTCCATTGGTATTTGCATTGATTTCAGCAAGGGCACTATCAATTTGACCTTGAATTTCAGCCTGCGGAGCCGCGAGCGAAAGGGTAGCTAGACCCGCTACGATAGCGTAGTGAAAACGCATCTTGACAGTGTAGTTCTAAACGCTTGATATTGGAAAGTTCGAACGACGGAGGTATCGGAATTCTAAACTTTAGAACGAAGGTATCTGATGAGAAAAGTTTCACGAGATCAAAACCTGGCTCAGACATGACTAGCATGGTTATATACAACTATCTCTCTGGAGAGCTTCTTTATCCGAGTATTACCGCAAGCGGGAGTTCAGGGGGGCAAATTGTCCTATCTATAGATATTGGGATCGTTTGCACATATATGACGTCCATGATTGCGGGAGTGAACTCGGTTTAGGAATAGGTTTGGAGAGACCTCATCATGAAAACGTAGAGGATGGTAAGATATCAGTGCGTGAACAAAGCAATTTATGATTTTAGCTTCCTCTCTATCGGTTACGAAAACAGATATGGGGATAGGAGCAAAGTTATTTATGGAAACATACTGAGACTGACGGATCGACTGCTTGCTCAAGCTTGATAGCAGGCAAATCCACTTCTTTATTCCTTGAATATCCGCTTTCGAAAACCTGCACTTGAACTGATTAAAAATCCTCTAATATTTGTGTTCATCACATCTTTCTATTCATAACTACTCATCGCAATCTAGATCTCCAATTCTTGATGTTAGCTAACGGAACTTTTGTTCGCAGACTTCGGATCGACGGAGATGCTTCCAGTCTCGCTTAAGCCGTCCGCATTCTTCAGCATGCCGAACTCGGGCATTGCCGCATGCAATTCTCGGATCTTCAATGTTTTTCTATGTCTGCGAATTTTTGTTTCTCTTTGCTCTGTAAAGGGCGAATTTACATTTAGCTCGTGTCTCCGCGCCCTCTATACACCTGCGAACTTTCTACCATCAATATTCTCAAGCTTTTTAAGATCCCCTCTTGGTTACCTACACACTACCTACATTCTCTATTGCGTTCATCGCAAATAAAAGTATCCAGCGCATTTCCTAGAGATCAGATACCAAAAAGTTCAGAATGACAAACTAAAAAAGAATAAAAGAACAACTTGTGTCATCCTCCCAGGGGCATGATTTGAAGGAGCCCCTAGCTAGTATTCTATATATTTAAAGTAGGTAGTAGTTAAGTGATCGCTCTAAGCAAATAATAACTATGAATTGAAAGTCAGGAGGCGATCTGAAAACAAAAAAAATAGATACTTGTAAATGAAGAAGAGCAGGTATTGAGAAACCTGAATCCATGCGAAAAAGTATCTACGAAGACCACCAAAAATATGACAATGAACGAACAAACACTCACCTGCGAATCAAATTTCCTGAATAATTCAGATCTCACCACTAGAAAAGAGCAATTCGCAAAATTTCACCATTTAGCACTCTGAACCGCGCTCATCGTTCCATTCACGCATTCGGAATGTGAGATCTCTTCATATCGCAATCAACACATTCTACATCTACATTCCATACGGATCTAAATATAGCTATATCCTCAAACCAATGGCTGAAACCCGGGACAACTAGAGCGGCGCAGAGTTTCAAATGCTCCATAAGAAGTTTTTTATTGCTGAATTCAATTCACGGCGGAACAGCCCCAAATTGTCTTCATACGCTTGATGCTGCCAATAGCCAAATTATCTTTCTCATACGATTCAATTCTTGGGCGATGAGTTAAAAATTAGATTGCTTCACTAGAACATTTGAAATCTAGAACCATGAGCTGAATTCGAACTTTCAAATCATCAAAATCTAAAACCTTGAGAGCTTGGAAGCTTTAAACCTTTCCAGATCCGATTAATCAAATCATTAAGACAATAAAATTACTTAAAATATCTCAATTTGATATCTAATTTACTACTTAAATCTCAACATTCTCAAATAAGAAGGTTGGGCTGCCAGGAACTGCTTGCTCAGCCATGTTTGGCAAAGTAGCATACTCCTTTTCCTCACCACCCTCAACTGGGACGATAACACCCTTCTTTGCGCCCTCCTCACCATCTACAATGACTAATTCTATCACCGACAGTCCAGCTGCCTTTTTAAGGCCAGCTACCATGTTCTTGAGTGTTGATTTCTCATCGAAGGCCAACTTTCTCTCGAAAACTTGCTCTGGAGCCTCACCACTTTGCAATCTCCTCTTCAAGACTTGTACGAAAGGCATAGCTTTCTTCATTTCACCCATCTTAGCAATCTTTCCATTCAGTTCCTTGTCATTAGCAGTCTTTGTTTCTGGGTCCCAAGACTCGCGAACAAGGTCGATGTACTTTTGTTGCCAAACAGGGAATTTAGCGGCAGAGAAAATGGTAAGCTTCTTAGGTTTCTTGAGGTCGTATCCGATGTCCTTTCCTTTCGCTTTCTTCTTTTGTTGAGCGGCTTCTGCAGAAGTGATATTCGAGGATGTAGATCGGACGTAATCACGAGCAGCACTGAGAGCTGGAATTGGGGCTGGAACGTCGGGGTAAAGGGCCTTTTGAATAGTAGTGGGTTTGTGGAGGACCTCAAGCCAGATATATTCAGACCAATGAGGCGCAATAACAGCCAGAAGGAGAGCTTGAAGCTCGATATATTGGAAGATCAGATCTTTATGCATCTTGATTCCGGCAGCGATGCTTGCTTCACGATAGAAGTCACGAGCGCCTGTGAAGTCATAAAGAGCCAATTTGAGGGCAAGTTTGTAGTCTGTTGCTTCGTAATGTTGACGACATTCGTGAACAATAGCATTCATTTCGTTCTCGAAGAGCGCATCAAGGAAATCGTTCTTCTCTCCAGTACGAAGGTTATTTTGATCCTTGACCATGTCTTCGCACCATTCTCGAAGGGTGTAGAGACGGAGAACATTGTTATCAGCAACGTCTTCCTCGAAATTGGCATCTGCAACTCCATCTCCTGCATCAGCCAACGCGATACGACTAGCATCTGCACCATATTTGTTGATCATGTCAAATAATGTCATGAAGTTACCAGTAGATTTACTCATCTTCTCTCCATTCAAGAGCAAGTGGCCATTGGCACGGACACCCTTTGGCCAGTACTCTGGAGGGAATATGGCAATATGAATGTAAAGGAAGAAAGTGAGATGGTTAGGAATAAGATCCTTTCCTGATACTCTAAGGTCAAGTGGATACCAGTACTCGAATTCTCTCCTCATAGACTCGAGAGTCTCCTTTGGAATCTTGCTCTGGTTCAAGATTTCATCACTGATATCCCGACGAGCAAAGACATAATCCCAAATCTCGTCTGTCATCTGTTCTGCTTTTATTCCAGCAAGACCTTGAGTCTTACCGAAAATATCGTTGTGAAGATAGTGAGCAATGGTGTAGTATGCCATATAAATGGTACTGTCACTCAAACTTTCAACCAAGAAATGAGGATCCCAGGGAAGTTTCGATCCTAGACCATAAGTTCTGGCACAGGCCCATTGATTGAGCCAGTTGAGGACACCTTCAAATCCATTTTTGGTCTCTTGCGAGTAAGAGTTCAAACCAGAATCAACATGTGCGAGGGCCTCCTTTCTCCAGGATTCCTCTCCATAGTCAAGGTACCATTGATCCATTAATGCAACACAGCAATCATCTCCAGATCGACTGGTGACCTTTCGCTCGGGTTCTGAGTATGCAAAGCCCTCACCAGCGTCGATAATTTGCTTTCTGACCTTAGGTTTGGCAACTTCGACCTTCTCTCCCTTGAACTCTCCGAATGTCATGGTACCTTGATAGTAACCCTCCTTGTAAGCAAGCTCTTTTGCCTCTTCCAATTTTGTCTTGTCCTTTGGTGAAGCAATCTTGAGCTTCTTCACCAAGAACGGAGCGCACATATCTCCAAATGAAGGCGTGTTGATGACAGAAATAATTTCCAATTCGGCCCATTCTTTTTTGATACCATAATACTCCGCCTTCTTCGCGAGATCCATGATAGTCGCATAATCATCTGGACTGTCAGATGGTACACAGGTGACAACTCCAGTACCTTTGGTAGGAAGGACCGACTCCATAGGAAGTATCCTGATACCATCCTTGTGCACAGAGAGAGGAGCTTTGACTAAGGTTCCAACACATGCTGAACCAACAATCTCTGCAACCTTGTCGACTTTACCATTTTCAGAGAAAATATCTTGATATGACATGTTTTTTGCCGCGCGATCGGTAATTACGAAGTATTCCTTTTCTGAAACTTTGAAAACACCATACGTAATCTTAGGTCCGACAAAACAACAATTTTGACCATACATCGTCTCTGGTCTAAGAGTAGCGGGTACGAAGAAAATATCCGCATCCGCTGGGACTTTATCCTTGATAGCAGCTTCGGCTTCTGACGACCATTCCAAGACCTTTAACTTCATGGCTAAGTAATCTTGTGGGCCAACACCCTCTCCGTCACTTCGATCATGGTCCATGCATGGTTGTCCGTCCTTTGGCGAGTAAATTGTGTATCTCTTTCCGAACTTAATTTTCTTAAGCTCCTTGAGGCGGTTCATCTGCCATCGGACGAAAGCATCATAGTATGGGTTGGCGTCAGTTGTAACAAACGATCTCCTCCAATCAATACGAGCTCCAAAATTCGTAAGGTCTCGTTTACACAGAGGAGAGAAGTAGGCACCCCAGTAATGTGGGTCTGCGAATTGATGGATGTCTTCCAATGGAATGCCTAATGCCCCCATGATCTGGAATTGGTACTTCATCTTGACAACTTTTGCGGCAGCCTTTCCTTTTTTCGCGGTGAATTTAGTGACGTCTTCGTGATGGGTGGTTGGTGTAGGGGTGTTTGTCTTCTCTTCCGAGACCTCTTCTTCCTTGTAGTTTTCAAAGTTCTTTCCGAAAAGCTTGATCTCCTTCACAAGCTTGTCGGCGGCTGCTTTGATAGGTAAACCTGTCAAATGGAAACCCATAGGGAACAGAGTTCTCTTTCCTTGCATACGTGCGAAACCTGCAGTAAACTCGATCTTACTGACGGTGAAACTGTGACCAGCATGAAGAGTGCCGTTCATGTAAGGATATGCCATGGTACCAAAGAATTTAGGGTGCTGTTCGCGCAACTCTGCGGCGGAGACAGAGTGGAGGGGAACATCGGAAGTTGAAGGAGCATCCGGTTGAAATACACCATCCTTTTCCCATTGTGCTTGGTACTTTCTCTCGATTGCAATAAGTTTGTCTCTCTTCTCAGTCTAAAAGATTTCGTGGTTAGTAACTATTGTGATTCAGCCAATTGAGGGGTACTTACGCCTTTCAACTCCTTAGTTTTGGAGATTGTGGCATTCTCCATAGCCTTCGCAGTGGCTTCAACAGCTGCCATGATTGCGATATTGAAATTCTAGGCCTTTCAATATCCTCTCTGCAGAGTATATGCTGTTGTTTTAGAAGTTTCACTGAGTCAGAGAGACCGCACTGAAATTCGGGTCACCAACTTAGAAATTGCGGGCTGGTGGGATGTTTATGTATAGATGCCTAAGGCCAAAATAATTACAGTCTCGTCCAGCTTCAAGTGAAGCTTGAAACGATTTTATAGTTATAACATCAACAAGAATGTTTCGCACACTTGTTAGACGTGCTGCCCAGCAAACCCGGTTAGAGCTACCATACGATCCGAATGCAAATCCGTATAAAGCGAAAAGACTGTGGCCTCCCGATTTCTCGAAGTTATCACAAAAGCATCAATTCCGACTTGAACGAAGATACAAAAGGAGAACGAAGCTCAAGTGGGCGAGACCGAAATGGACAAAAGCTGTTAAAGTCGCTCAATTGAGTTCTATTCTATGTGGGTAGATTATGAGAGGGTACATCAGATTACAGAATGCTGATATATGGGAAACAGTTGTGATAGTTTACGGAGTACTCTTCGCGGATTGGAATAAAGACAACTTGGTTCACGAGGGGGCACCATTTCAAGGAGTATGAATACCTATGCATTTAATAAAGACATGAAATATTGACGAATCATAGGTCCGGGAATGGTTTTTTGGACTTACAGGATCACTGTGGTCAAAGGATCAAGTTCACAAACGTGTAGATCAAGCCGAAGATGTATCACCTGTAGCAAAGAATAGCACCTGAAGCACAGGTCATGTTTACGAAGCTATGCTAGAACGTCGCGATATTGTATAATTTGTAGTAGTATATTCTCGGCGTGGAGGCGTTAAATACCAATGGGTTGGAAGTGTACATGATGCATGGACCAGAAATCTTGCTCAAGATATCTTTGCTTTCTCTTCAATCCTTCATAGATCTCGTTCACTCGAGGACACTCTCTGTGACCTTGGATCATCGTTAGATGTTGAGAGCACAGTTTGGCGGTGATGTATATGTAACCAAGAAGAGCGATGTGTTGACAACATTTGGGGCTCTTTTGTGCTCATAACTAGTAGATGTGAGACTTATGTTATTCCAAGCAGCTGAACCGACTTTGGTGTTGAGAGTGTTGAAATGCCCTCTACAAATGCTCTTCGGCATGTTCCTCGATGCCAGCCTTCGATCAAGTATTTCTGCAGCCTTATGGTCTTGCTTAATGATGGGCGTTCTCTTATTGTAGTTGGTCTTGAGTAAACCAAAGCAGTCGCTAGCTTTCATCGAGTAGCCCAGGCAAAATTTCCCCCCATTCCCATGCCTCCTAATGCCCCGCCTCTTCCTTCATTCAAGGGTCTCTTTGCTACCTTTCCCTGTGCCTTCACCCCTTCCACAACTCTCTCTAACTGTGTCTCAATAACAACACCGCCCACGACCATCTCGCTCAAAGTTGCATGCAGCGTCTCGAAATTGAAGATCAAATCTAGTTCGCATACATTCTCAAATAAACGATCGAGTGCCTCCACATATACTTGTATCAGATCAATAAGAGCAAGTGGTGATTCGGTGGATGTTGAAATAATGATGAAGTATAGTGTCGCATAATGACGATATGTGACGAGGGAAGGGATATCGTTGTGAGGAGATGAATCTGTTTTGGATGTGGAGGAGGAGGCGAGAAGAGGCGGAAGCGGAAGGAAATTGCATGAGCCGGCAGGACGATTAGATACGAGTGTGAATATTTCTGAAATAAGTCGCTGTTGAACTGATGTTTCCTGTTTGGGCTGTTAGTAATTATTTGGAGGATGGTAAGTGGCTGGTACTCACTAGTTGTGTGTAGAATTTTGTAAGCCGTGGTTGCCCAGCATTATTGAAGACAAGAACTGCGTTGATCATCTTTGAGTGCAAGTATATGGAGAACCAAATGAGTTTGTTGTTTGCAAAGAATTATGTTAAAGGCCGACAAAAGAAGGCTGAACACGATGCAGATGATAGGATCGTGGTGTGGAAATCCCGATATGCCAATGAAGCAAAAAAACGTGGGGTAGCTAGCTCAAAGCTTAATTCAATTGAGCTCTGTGCGACCAATCTGTTTATCAACCCTACGAAGTAGAATTGGAACGATCAATTCATCCATCCACCCAGAACCCATCCCACCAATCCTCCTCTTCTATCCTACAAAGCACTTCATTCAAACGAAACAATGACTCGCACATTCCTCGCAAAGATTCTTCGCAGTGCGCCCCGCCAATGTGGCACCTCTCGAAATTTGCTTGCGCGAGGTCGAACATTTCCAACCATTCGACCAAGTGTTGCTTATCAACCCTTCCGCCCTATCACAATTTCGAACAAAGTTGGCAAAGGATTGTCCCCGGAATCCGAGAATCCTAAACCTAAGATACTGGAAAGCAATCCAGAACCAAAACAAGCTGCTGAGCTCAGTCAAGAAGAATACAATGAGTTATCGGATAAGTACATGGACATGATGGTTGAGAAGTTGGAGGAGTTGCAAGAGGAGAGGGAAGATGTCGATGTCGAATATAGCGTAAGTTTCTTCTCCAGGCTCACGCGCCTTCTATGAGGTGCTTTCCTAGAATTGACTGAGATCTTTATATAGGCTGGGGTTCTTACACTCTCATTTCCACCCATCGGCACCTATGTCATCAACAAGCAGCCACCAAATAAACAAATTTGGCTTTCTTCTCCCACATCCGGGCCAAAGCGCTACGATTTTGTGATTACGAGTGAGGGTCAAGACTCAAAAGAAGGCACAGGATCAGGGGAGTGGATATACTTGAGAGATGGGTCGTCTTTGAACGAACTACTGTTGAATGAGGTCGGTGTCGACTTATCAAGTTCATACACTCCTGATATACAAGGGAATGAGTGATCACCTTACACATTCGTGATAAATCTACGGATGGATCTCGAGAGCGATTTTTTTGTTTTTGCAAATGGTGGGCTATAAATCGAACATCAATCGGCGTTTTCTGGCAGTGGCATTTTCACGACTTGAGATTCATGAACATAGGGAACCGATGAGACATTGAGGTAGCTTTTTAATTTGGGCATTACCTGATGATAATGTACACAGTCTGAATTTCTGACTACCTGCTCATCATAGACACAATATAGCTTCTCCAAGAGATCTAATTCTCTTTATTGCTTGTCCCCTGTGACCTCGGCTTGATCCAATCTGGTTCTATTCTTGCGGAATGTTTCTTCGCAGAATGGCGCTGGATTGGACGTTCATCGTTGGGCGCGAATTATGTTTTGGAAAGTATTTCCGTCGTCACTTTCATATAACCCTCAATTATCCTATCTTCCAGCAAAACCTTCATTCTCGGGTCGATGCATGATATGTATATAGCTTCGGATCATCAACCTACTCATGTCGCAATCGTCACTTGAGGGCCACCTTGATCTCCTTCTGGCTTTGGTAAATCATCCTACGTCACAGCAGGATTAGCATATAGTTCAAGAACATCTTTCGCATAAGAGAACCGTAATGATATGCCATCATATTGGCCTCGAGCAATTTCCCCGTCAGAAAGAGTGAAACTTACCACCTCGAAAATAACTTTGATCATCAAACTACAACTTGGACAGACTCCAATATCTTCGCCATCTCTCAAATCAGCAATACCGATTTCAAATCGATCGCCACATGGACATGGATAATGATAAATTTGTAGGACTGGATCATAAGTCATATCCTCGATCTCGATTTCGTCGTAAATATTCTCGGCCATATTTTCTTTTCTTCTGCAATGATCTCGGAAGCGCAAAGTCGCTGGTTTGATTTTTTAACGTGTGAGATTTATTTTTCTCAGAGGGGTCATAAGGTTGTAGATAATGATGGCGGGGATCACAAATTGACAAAGAAAAAAATTGGCTCGGATTAGGTAATCAATTGCTCGGTGGACCCCCGCTCTAGCTAGTCCGGCACGTGTTTGGCCAAACGAGATTGCTTACTCGTAGACCTCCAACTGTTGGTTTCTGTTTTCAGAATCAAAAAGATTATCCTATTACACGACAAAGTGCCCAAACGCTCAAGGTATCCTTAGTTCTAGATGCTTTAGGCGGCTGTGTCTTTCAAAGCAGAGTCAGATATTACAGTGTCACGAAGTCTCTCATATCATCGAATCCTCTGCATCTTATTGGGTACCCTTTTTATAGACATAGCTGTGCTAGTTATTTCTTATTGTTTCTTATTTGCCTTGCTGTCAAATCATTGTCTGATGCCCAGCAAAGAGTTTGATGTCAAAGTTTGGTTTCAACGCCGATTTGAAATCGGTCGGATATGCCTCACATACCGGCATAGTTCAGATGCAGAATGTACACCAGTTGGTGCAAAGTCTAGCAAGCTTTTGAGCGTGTTACAACAATCCTTCAAATTCTCGTTGGCTTCTAGAAGACTGCGATTTGCACGGATATCTCATGGGGCAAAGATGTTGGGAAGTTTAAACATTTATTTCTTAGAATATTTGGCTACTTGCCCTGGGGATTGTCTTTGTAGGTAAACGCTGTCCATATTGTTTTTCGATCATCTAATACTACAATTGTATTTTTCTTTAGAAAAAATGCAAGTGCAACTACTACCGTATGAGCAATCAAGAAGTTTGTAGATAGATGAGACGAGAGCTTCTTGAATGCAGCAAATTCAGCCGGTTTTCTCATTCGTCAAATATCCGATTAGTCCCTCACCTTGATATTAATCTCACTGTTGTCTGATATGCAGTACGCCGCTTATGACCCTGGCATGATTATATCCTGCAAGTCCTTTCGTTACGACCCCAGAAGATTGCCTATTACCATGTCCAGCCCTGTCAACGGCCAACCCTTGCAACCTTAGCCGCAAACCTCAGCCATTTTCAAGGTGGATTCGAGGGGAAGTCTTCGGTACATTGGCATAGAACTTTAAATATTACCTGTCAGTCCTCGCATATTTCTCAAATTTTGTAGTTTCATGGATTGTTTATTCAACGTCACCAATCAATAATGTCCGAAATGTCAGATTATATCAGAAAAAGAGCTTCTAGGCCCAAAGTCAGATCGGGTTGCGTGACTTGCAAGTAGGTTTTATCATCACTTTATTCTGAGCACAATGTTGATTTGATATACTTAGATTTCGAAGACTTAAATGTGATGAAGGAAAACCAGCTTGTTTTCGATGTTCTAATTCCGGGATTCGATGCCGTGGTTATACTACTCAAGCACCAATATCAACAAAAAAGAAAGAAACTGTTCGACAAAGCTTAGTTTCTATACGCCCGGCACCACCATCTCTACCAAATCATGAGCCCTCTTACCTAAATCTTAATGAGCAAGAATGGCTATACTTTCAAGACTTTACATCTGCGACTTCTGCCGATCCATATTGCATGATCACGGACACAACGCGTCGTACAGCCAGATCGATCGAGTCATTCTTTTGGACCGAAGTCGTTCTCCAGGAAAGCTTTTTCACGCCATGTATTCGTCATGGAATTGTCGCTATTTCTGCTCTTGTGCGGAGCTTTCAGATGGACACTACCAGCTCACAACAAATTCAAGATCATGAACAATTCGCCCTTAAACAATACGGCAAAGCATTGCAGTCAACGAGAGACTTCATAGCAGATACAAAAAGTACACTTGAACGTTCAAGAACACTGTTTATTGCCGCTACGATACTAGCCCACTTTGATTGCTTCTATGGGAATCGAGATTTAGCAACTTCTCATATGCAATGTGCCCGATCATTGCTTACAAAAGATACCTCAAAACTCCTGGACTGTAGATTCGTTAGTATCTTGATGAGTCTCGATAGTGTCAACTACTCCACTATGGGCTTCGAATCGGAGTTCTCTTATCGCCAAGCTATATTTGGAAAAGAGCAGATTTATATCCCGGAATTCTTCTCTGGTATAGAGGAAGCAGTCAAAACTCGAAGTATACTTGTCACAAGAGCCAACAACCTCTATATAGAGATGTTCAAATATAGATTCACGCCGAGAAGAAATATTCCTCGCTCGGCCATCAAGCTGAGAGACTATTATGTAGCGCAATTGAGACAATGGGACACTGTCTTCCGTCGATCTATATGGATGTCCGATTGCAAAACTGATGTTACTGGACATCCGGTGCTAAGACCAGAATCATTGAGAATGCGAATATTAATCAGTATTATCAAGCTTGCCACAAGTCTCAACGAACCGCAATCGGTCACGGACGAGCTCCTGGAGCCGTTTCAGTATATCGTCTCTTATACGCGAGATATCATTGACTATGAAAAACATTTGTTGCGAAGTACATTTTATCTTTCTTGGTGATATTTTATTATATGCTCACTAAATTCACAGGCAAATCATCCTTTAATTTTGATATTCGCACCACGATACCATTGTTCGAAGTCGCATTAAACTGCCGCAATTCGCCGGCATTACGCGGTGAAGCATTGAAGCTGCTACTTTCTTCTCATCGTCGAGAGGGTGCATGGGATAGCCATGTGATTGCAAGAATCGCGATATGGAAGATGGCACTCGAACAACCAGGGATGGATGAATCTGGAACGATCCGTGAAAATGCAAGATACTATGGAGAGTCTTTCGAGGTCGATCGATGGAATAAAGAAATTCGGGTTACTTGTAGGCAGAATGACGAGAGGTTACCTGAGGGCTACCGGATAGTGACAGACATACTTCAATATGGAGAAACAGCGGATGAGCTCTTTCGCTCGAGTCTAGACCAGGTTACACCTTCGATTTTGTCGCCATAATATCTAATCATTATCTCCTATGAGATGGTTTTGTTGTATTTACTCAGATCTATCACTAATGTTAATGCCAAAAAAATATTTACAATCATCTCCGGGAAGCTGTAATTTCGCTTTCAATCGTTGCCATTAGTTCCAT